TGCCCAGCCTCTAAACTTAAAAAGAATTTTATTGTTTATATTTAATATTTATTTATTAAATACATCTATAAATAACAACGTTAAACATAAAAATGTATTTAATAAATAAATTGTCGGACCTTGTCCATTTCTTAATATATGACGTCATTTGTTTACATTTGATACGCCAGAGCAGTTCTGAATATACGAGATTCATGGAAGATTGAAGTTTATAAGCAGTAAATTCGACCTTGTCTACCGAAAGGTATAGGAATATATTGTTATGAACTCTCATCTAATTTTATTTTAAAATCAACACTAAAATTTATATTTTACAAATACTCTGAATGAGGAGCCAGTACTTTCAGAAAGTGTGAAAATGAAAAAGAAATAAAGTGAAATTAACAAATAATGGTTCTTGATCAAATTTGCATGTATCTGAGCAAAGATTATGTATTCTTTGAAAAGTACACTTTCTCCTTTTTGGTCATGTGATAGCATGATGATTTGACTGGATACTATCCAGACAGTAAAGCAACCTTGAACTCTCCAAAATATGGCAGAAAAAGGAAAAGGGTCAGTGACCTCTTTTCGGCCACACATGTAAAAATCCATATTTGGAAGTCATGAGTCACATGCCAAAATCAAAGTACAAAAAAAAAATAAAAACTTTATCATTCCCTTTTTAATTCAAACTGAATGGATGTCCAGCTAAACTTGCTATGATCTTGTTATAAATTTTTGTGTTTGAATTGATAAAAATCTATTAAGGTTTTTGTGCTGAAAAGATTCACTAAAGTGTTGATTCAAAGAAATCAAACTCTGTGTGCTAAAAGAAGCAGATACAATGAAACAAAGAAAGATACATTATCCTGAGAGTCAAGGAAAAGAAAGATTCAACTTATTCTTCACTCAACCCCTAGACAAGATGAAGAAGAAAAAGAAAGAAAGGAAACCAAAAAAATTCATTTCATAGATAATCTTTCTACCCAGCAAGGAGAAGAGAAGACAGAAAAGATAAAAGATAAAAAGAAATATAAAAGAAAAGAGAAACATATAAGAAATGCTAAAATAAAAGAAAAAGAAAGACTTTTTTAAATGACAGATAAGTCCTTTGTTTCTAGTTCTTGTTTTATCTTTGCTCATTTTGCCTTTTTGTCTTTTGTAATTTCATGCAATTTTGGTACAAGATTGTTTGTCAATATAATATTTACCTTTCAGAAAAGATAAGTCCCCCCCCCCATTGTTTTGTCTCATAATATTTATTTTTGTCTCATTGGTTTGTTTTGCCCCATCTTTCATTTTTAATATACCCCAACATATATAATCCTCATTTGTATATTTTAGTAATAAAATGGTTATTTGTTATCCCTATATCTTTGCCTTATGTTGTTTGTCACCTCCCATGTTTGTTCATTAATTGATTCCATTTAGCTCGGCTGTATTTGATCAATCAGAAAAGGACAACTGGGAAAAGAATTCATGATTCTATATTGTATGTTACTTTTAATCCCACTATAAAGTATAATAATCAAAAAAACTTTGGTGCATAATAATAATAATATATATATATAATTATGTAAAAAATGATATGAGAGAGAGATAAGCACTGTGAACATAGGAATCAACACTGTATGGTGACTGCCAGTTTCATGTCTCAATGCAATCTTCAAACCAAGCAGTATAAAATCATGTTCAGGTGTGTAACCACATGGTCTTAAGACTGCATTAAAACATGAAACTGACAGTAAAATGCAAAATGATTTTTCCTATGTTCAAAAACATCTTTACAAATAGTCTGCCTCTGATATGGAGCACTCTTACCCTCTAAATATAGACAATTTTAAACATTACATATATATAATGTATATCTAGATTCAATATAATTTTTGCATTTATGTCAAATTTGCAAAAACATTAGTCTAGGAAAAAAAAAAAAAATTATTCTCCTGGATATTAACATTAGCCATGCTGATGGAAGGAAGAAAATTTTTTATCACAGATGATTAATAGAAAGCAGTTTCATTTTTAGATGTTAAAAATTAAATTCAAATTTCCTTTGTCCCAGTTAACAACAAAATTTCTTTTTTTGAAATTAATATCCTTCAATGTATAAACAAATATAATAAATAAAAAAGAAAACATGAAGATTGTATTTTAGCAAACTTTAAGTGGAAAAAAAAAAAACCTGCCTTGGATATATAGCATTAACCCCTTCCCAAAAAAATTAACATATATATATTTTTTTACAAAAAGTTCTTTTTCAGATACTGAAAATAAACAAAATAAAAAAAAACATAATGTTCAAAAAATCAGCTAAGATGTGTTTATACATCGATCTTGATTCATTTATGCCCTTCTGAAATTTTTAAAATTTGTCAACTCATACATCTAATAAAGGTGTTTTTAAAAATTTTAGGTACTTTTAAAGGTTTCAGTTTCAGTTCTTTATTGCTATATTAAAAATTTATAATAAAAATTCATCTGAAAATGAAATGTTTTTCCCAAAATAATTAGCAGGGAAATTTTTTTAACTAGCTTCTATATTTTAAAATAAATACTGATCTTTGGCACTAATAGTAAATATAAAATTATCTTAGCCACTATACAGTCTACAATATTAATGCTTTTCTTGCCATTGGTTTCTCGCATTATCAATTTCTTGTCAGCAGAATGAGATAGATAATTGTTAAGATGAGCTTTATGTTACGGGTTCAAATAATGATTCTAATGTTGGCTCAAATTGTGTGACACATTCCTGAAAAATACTAATAACATATTTTACTGGGAAGGGATTGTTCATTGAATAATTTTATTTCATCTGGTTTTATAAAATCTTTTATTTATCTACTGTAGATTCTTGACCCCCAACTCTCCAAAAAAAAATTGTTTGTGGTTTATCAGTCCTGAAAATGCAACTCAGCTTCAGTCATTTTTTAAATAGAAATAACATGGCTTCCCTGTACTTTTTCTATAGATATTTTCATGGTAATTGTTCTGATTAGCTTTCTTCTTTGGTAACTTGACTTCACAGATTTAAGTGCAATACTAGATTGGCAGATAGGTCTCATCGTTTTAATGTTAAAATTTCTAGATGTAACTGTAAGTTCTATGCTAACAATTTTTTTTCTCACACTTCTCATTGATAGAATTTTTGTCCAGTTTCTTGCTTTCCTGTCAACGATGATCTTCAAAGATTTAAATGCAATGTCAATCGTTATTTTCTGTCTTCTTGAATCCTGTTCTTATTTTGTTGTTTTTGCTCAATAACATTCTCTTGGTTCCTTTCACTCTCACAAACTCTTGCATCTTAGTGGCTTTATCACCTTGTTTGACATGAAATGATTAAAAAAGCTTCTTCATGAAGCGGTAGTGTTATAATGTCTCATTTTTAGAATCCTGTTTGGTCTAATTACAATTGCTATCATTTGATGATGTCATATTCCACATTCAAATTCCATATTAAATTTGACTTTATTCTCATTTCTGATACAGCTAAATGAACTAAATACAATATCCTATTTTTAATTTACAGATTCCAATTCACTGTGACAACGGAAATGGGTCAAGTCTCATGAGGGAGTCTGCTGATCAATAAGTAAGTATCTATTATAGAAGAATAGTTGTTTCTCATTAAAACAAACAAAAACTACTCAATAGATAGTTAAAAGGAATTTCAAAATATTATTGCAGGCAGGGTTGGTCCATACTACAAGCTTGATTGTGGTCCCTGGGGGCAGTGCTTTGTGACCGTTTCCATCTTATCAACATTTGCTTCTTTTTTTTTTACCTACATTTCTATACATTACAAATTAAACAAAGCAAAACTGACTATTAAAGGATGAAAAATTTTTGTGGATTTTTTACATCATTCTGGGGTCTTTTTTTTTTCATCCAAATCCGTGAATTTGTTTTGCTCTACGCTAAGTCTTGAAAAAACACAATATAAAATTCACTATTTTTTATTCATAATGTTGAACGTGCTAAAATTATTCAACTTTTTAGCAAGAAAAATCTTAAGTTGATGTTAAAAATTGTTACAAAACATTGTTGATTTGTTTAAAATGGAATGATCTATTATGACACATCTCTAATTTGTATTTAGATACATTGTATTTATTTTCAATTTTTCTAATTGAATTGTTCACCTATAGTGCATATGATCCATTATTGTACATAATTAGGTTATGATAAAATTTGTATTTTTATGAATACTGCCTTATAAAAATTGACATCTAGTAAAGTGGAGGGGGCTGTATCATAGATTCAGTGGGGGGACACTCAAGACCCTTGCACCAGATCTGATTCCCAGTAATAAATATTTGATTAATAAACCAAAGTCATAGTTGATTTCGTTGAAATTTCGATGTATATTTACATCATCCTTAGTGTTGTGTCGGAAACCTACCACCCCTCTTGAAGATGAACTTGTCTGCATCTGTGAACAAAGACTTTAAATAGTGGCATGTCAGTTGACATGGGGGAGACAGAGAAGTTCTTAGCTGAGCTAGTTATTGACTACTCAGGCGATTTCTGTACCTTTTTACCAACCTATTAAAACCCTTTTTATTGTTACGTGTTATTTGGCGTTTGTCTCTACTAACCCCAAATCAACATCATAACACTCAGAAGAGATTTTTGCATAAAATAAAAAGAAATAGTTATAGTTAAAATAAAGACTACACTGAAATGGAGACAGAATTTCAAGATATTGAAAAAACATCAAATTATAAAGAGATTAGAATTTTGTTGATTGATTTGTTTCTTACGGATTTCTTGCAGGTTATTTAAAGCTAGAAAATAATTATAGATTGTAAGAATATTTTTGAAGATGTTAATGATTTTTACTGATAGACATTCTACTAATTAACCCATAGCTGGAGGGAGAAGAGGTGGATTCAATCCTCTCCTAAGGGTATTTGCACATAAGTGAACATAACAAACTCAACTAGAACTGGAATTTGGCTCTCTAATTTATAATTCTGAGCCACTATCCATTACACTACCTGCAAATCGAAGCTTATAGCACCTGGTATTCCCAAGAGGTCACCCATCTAGGTACTGACCAGGCTTGACATTGCTTGACTTTGGTGATCATACAAGAACTGGTGTTTCAATGTGATATAAGCTTAAAGAAATTAGGTTTTAGTGGTGATGGCAGAAAGCTTAGTCACTTGACCTCAATCAAAAAAAAAAACAATTAAATAAACATATTTTCACTTTAGACACTTTCTTAAAATATAGCAAAAGTTTGTTGGACTTGCAAGGGAGTGATGACTAGACTGATCACCTGATCATACAAAGAGATTCAGAAAAAACTGACTCACATCTCAAAATTCTGATGTTAGGTCAATTTTCTTTTACAAAAATTCTAATGTTTTGACAAACCATCAAAATTTTTTGTGTCTGAATTTCTGGGATAAGGAGTTATCATTATTTACAGTTCGACAAAGATGAAGACACGTTAATGTGGTGTAATGGTTAACGAGCTTGACCCGCTAGATCAATTGTAATTGAGTAGTAAGTTCAATTCTCACTAAGTGCTCCACACATTTGGTCATGTGTCATATCTAAGCTATGCCTAGAAAATCACTTAATGGCTGAATGGGTTTTGAATCAAATTAGCTTGGTTTAGGTAGTGATGACTATTTCCCCCTTCAGATTTGTACCACACTTGTATTTAAAAGTACAATAAATATACAGTTTAAATAAGATGAGGACATTAAATGATGACTGTAAATAATGTAAAGAATCAGAATTTTTATTGGATGGGCTCTTTGGTGTAAATTGGGGAGGGGGGAGCAATTTTTCAGCCCCCCCCCATATTTATATGTTTAAAGATTCATATATGAAAACTTTCTAATAATAAGTGTAAACAATAACTGTTAATATATATATATATATATATATATATATATATATATATATTTATTTATTTTATTGAATATTGGTGTTTCAGAACTTCTATTCTCTTAATCAGCCAAAAATTTAAATTGATGTCATTTTTAAGTTCAAATATTAAAAGACAATAAAAACTTGTAACGGACAATGATCACTATAAACAAAAATATAATTTTTATTGTTTTTCCATTATTGACAGGATAAATTTACCATACAAATTGGTCATTAAAGAAAGATTCTGAATTGCTAAAAAAGGGAGCCTTAATTAAATAAACATGTTAAATCCTATTATATGGCAATCTTTAAAATAGTTTTGTAGAATTATAACAATGATTTATTGTACAAAACCCTTTTCTAATTCTGTCTTTTTCTTCTTTTTCTAAGAATTTTGAATTATTGTCTGTTACAAGTTTGTTTTGTCCTTTTGCTTTAGAACTTAAAAATTAAAATTAATTTAAATCTTTGTCTGATAAAGGAAATAAAGTCCTTAAAACATATACTAACATTCAATAAAAATATATACCATACACTTTTTGTTTATAACTATACTAGCAGTAGAGCCCAGCGTTGCCCGGGATTTAACAGTAAGAGATAGATCAAGTATCGACCAACATAAAGACTGAAAAATAAAATTGACAAAGATTATTGTTTAACGTTGACGGGCACGCATGTCTTAATTAGTTTTTTTTTTTTGTTTTGTTTTTTTTTACGAATTGGTCAAATCCAAACTCAAACAAAAACATTGTTTTCAATCGTTATGAGTTTACCGATTGAATAGAATTTTATTATAAACAATTGTCTTGTAAATGGAATTTTTAAAGCATTCTGAATGTAAAAATAAAGAAAAAAGTGTGCAAGACAATAAGAAACACTACCTGCCAAAAAAAAGTGAAGTTTTGTTGAAATCGGTTGAAAAATGTAGGAAATCCGATCCCATATATAAACGAACACACACACACACACACACACACACACACACACACACACACACACAATCTGGGTTTTATAATAAGTTTATAAACTCGATATGAGTTGTCCCCTTTCATTCTCAAAATTTAAATGACTTTAATCGTGTTTTCAAATTGATTTTGTGCAAAAACAATTGTGTTTTTCCAATTTTTGGTGCTGTCAGAACCACCGCAAGGTAATTTTACGTAGTCCTGTGAAGTTTTGTTGAAATCGGTTGAAAAATGTAGGAAATCCGATCCAATATATAAACATACAGACACACACACAACCTGGGTTTTATAATAAGTATGATGTTGATAGTATAGTCCAATAATTTTTTTTACTTTTAAAAATAGTAAACACATGGAGCAATATGGTGGAGTAATGGATAATGGTTCTGTTTGAGGAACAAGTTCGAATTCCAACCAGGTACATTACATTCACATATGTGCTAATAGCCTTGGGAAAGGTATGAATCCATCTCCTCTCCCCTCAATTATAGGTAAATAACAAGACAGACTTGGTTCTATAGTCTTGGTTGGAAAACGGTCTAGGAGAAGGACAACTCTGAATTTATGAATTCAAAACCTGAGGGCCTAGTGTACCTACACCATATTCTGTGGTCGTCAGTTGTCAGTAAAGAGCTTGGAGAGGAGAGGGGTACTGCCAAGCTATCTGAAGGCCCACTGAAAGGATCAAAATCTGTTTCTTCTGCCTTCATGTCCCCCACCCCCTGACCCAATGATTGAAACAGTTGAGTTTTAATGCTTTTCATACGATGAGTATTTTCTAATAATTGGGAATATTTAGATAATATCGATATATTTAGATAATATCCATATTGTCTATATCAAAAGTTCAATACTTTTAGCCTTTACCTTTTACTTATATAGAAATATATATATATATATATATATACATTTTTTTTTCTTTCAGGTACTTCAGTTTCTGAAAGACCTTCTCACCCTTCTGCAACATTTTCTCCACTGCCATTGCATCAGCAGTTCCAACTATGACTCCCCTCATCTACTGTCATATCTTCAGTATGTAACCACCAACAGATGCATGTAACAGAGGTGTAATATTTCACTGTTACATGTAATATAGAGGTGTCAGTAGTTTTTTCAGCAAGCTGTACTGGCCTTGTAACCTGACTGACTGAGCATAGTCATACCCAAATGTTCCACTCAATGAGGAGGCAACCATCAAACTGAGCTGCAAATAGATGATAGAAAATCTCTTCTTTTTTATTTATCTGCAAATATACAGTTTTCTAATAGATTGTTACCCTTTTGTATTTTTGTCTTCTAAGAAAATTTTAAAATTCCCTGTTGAGAAGCATAATTCAGTTTTGTAAAAGAGAAAAGAACACTATTTTAATTTATCCATATTTTTTGCTATCTTCATATAATTTATTTTTATTTTTTGATGTGCAAATATAATTTGCCACACAGTTTTCTAATAGCAAATTCATATTCTGAGTTTGCAAAAATTTTCAAAATGACTGTTATTTAATTTTTATAAGAAAAAAAATCATTATTTTGGTTGGTAAGTAATTTTCCCAATACTCTTAATATATTAGTTTTTACAAAGTTTGAAAATATTCATTTAATTTTATTAGTATTAAACTGACCTATGCTTTGAAAAAATAATTCCTGCCCCACCCACCTCCAAGAAAAACGAAAAGAAAAAAGAATCTAACAAAGTATGACAGTATAAATTAATAATTTAAAAGCCATTGATGTTTGAGTGTTCCATTGACATTCAGTCATCCCCAGGGACGAAGCGAAAAAGGAAAAAAAAAAAGAAAGATTATCGAAATATAAGAACTGATCAAAAGTATTATTTTGAAAGCAATTCCAAACTACATGTTTAAAAATTGATAAAAGCAAAAAAAAATAAATATATATATATATATATTTATTTTATCTTGCTATAATTTTCCACCTTGATTGTTTCTAATACTGAAAGAGTTTTTCATTTTGATGTGACCATCTGGATGTGTCACAAGAAATATTTTCTTTAGCTTTCATTCACTTTTTTTTCATTTTCTAACTTTACTATCTTTAACCCTTTAACTGTTTGTTGGGTTTTTTTTTTTTCATTTCTTTTTAACTGCACTTTCTCAAGTAGTGACAGTTTTTAGTCTCAGTTGTACCAAGAAATATTTTTTTATATAACTTTTTAAGCCTTTGTTAAACCCTTCTTGATATTGTATGATATCTGATATTTTGATATTATATGATATTTATTTACATCAAACCAGCAAAATTTTAATTTTCTATCGTACTTGCACCAGTACAAATGGAAAACTCATTTCCAACTCTTAAAAAAGTATCCATTAAGATAAATCTAAGTAATAAAATATATTTACCTACTTTCATGTTTTGCTCCTTTGATATGAAAATTGAATAATAAAAAATAAAGATTTTTAATCAAATACGCACTTATATACATCTTTTTATATAACTCTACTTTGTCCAAAAATCAAAGTACAAATGTAAAAAGCTTTTTCAATAAAGAAAATATTAAAATATTAGATATTTATAGAAAATCAGTTAAATGAAATTAAAATTTTAAAACAAAAACTATTGGTTCTTTTTAAGCACCTTGTTTCATGAGAAAAAAAAATCAGAAAAAATATTAAACATTTTCGTGAATCTTTGCTTATTGTCTCCCATACTCACTCATTTAATTTTAAAGATTCAAATCCAGATTTCAAGATCTCTGCTTTAAAATCCTTATTCAGTTATTGATATATTTTTTTTCTAAATCTTTTGAAAGCAAAAAAAAAAAAAAAAAATTTAATATTTTTGCATCAATTTTTTTTCTGTTTGGAATGACTCCAAAATTGATTACAAAAAACTGCCAACACATTTACCTGTAATTATTTACACATAACTAATATTCATGCTGTTGTAGTTCAGTTATATCTTGGCTCTACATGTCGCATACCTGTCAATTGTTTATATGTCCCCTGGTGTGTGTGTCCAGTTGTGTATGTCCCCAGCTGTGTATGTCTCTAGCTGTGTGTGCTTCCTCATTGTACCCTCCAAACTGCTTTGTATATTCAATCTAACTGAACCAGACTAACTTTTCTTTTTTAATACCTTCTTACACTTATATACCAATATCCTTTATTATAAAGAAGTATTGACATTTTTTTTACCGGTATTGAACAGTCTGTCTTTTGTTAGAGATTTATTTTTTGTTCATTATAGATACACTTATCCATATATGTTTATTATTAGTTTCTAACTTTTCATTTTTGCTACCTGTGCTTCTGTTTTCATTTTTCTACCGACTTGTCCACTGATTTAATTTTATGTATCTATTATAGATAAAACTTTTATTTATCTATCTATCTAGTCATACAGAGTTTATTCTGTTTTCTATTTCAACATATGCTTTCATCCATACTAGTTTATATATATATATGTATGTATAGATATTGATATATGTGTATATATATATATATATATATATATATATATATATATATATATATATGTACACACATATACATACATATATATATATATAAATAGATAGATGAGTTTTTTTTCTGTCCATTTTCCTCCATCTCTTTTCATTCGTTACTTTTCTCCAGTGTCTCCCTAACCTGGTAAACACCCCCAGCAACAAAAACAACCAAAATAAGGTAAAAATAAAACCATCACAATGTTTCCTATGCAACCCATGTACGGTGGAAGTGGTATGGGCCACCACCACGGACACCATCATCACCACCACCATCATAGCCATCATGGTGGTAATGGAGGCCATCACAGTCACCATGGTAACACCAGTAGTAGCAGTCACCATGGTCACCATAGCAACCACAATCACAATAACAATAACAGTAATAACAACAGTAGTAGTAATAATAACAATAATAATAGTGGTACTAATAATACTAATAGTAATAACCAAAGCAGCAGCAGCAGCCAAAATTCTGGGGGTAGCTCTCAGCACCAACAACACCTGTCGCCCCAGCAGCCTCCGCACCAGTTCAGCTGTGACGTCTGCTGCGAAAATTTCCCCACCTTTGACCAGCTACGTGCGCACAAAAGGGATCACTTTGAGTCGAAGACGTTCAAGTGTGACGTCTGCGGCGAAAACTTTCCGCTCTATGACCAGCTGAAAGCCCATAAGCGGTCCGCGCATGCTGAGTCAAAGACCTACCCATGTGACACATGCAAGAAACTGTTCAACCATGTGTCAACTCTGCGCAACCACATGCGCACACACACCGGCGAGAAGCCGTTTCAGTGCGAGGTGTGCCAGAAATGCTTCAGCCAGCGCGGCAACCTGAAGATCCACCGGAGGCGCCACACGGGCGAGCGTCCTTTCCAGTGTGACATCTGCTGGAAGTCGTTCAGCCAGAAGGGCAACCTCAAGACCCACGTCCGCAACCACGCACATAAGAAGAGCTTTTGCTGCGATCTCTGCGGCAAGGTGTTCTTGCACCGCTCCATCCTAAAATGCCATGAGAAGGCCCACCAAGTACAGCGCCTGTCGTCCCTGTCGCCCTCAAACAACAGTGGCGGCAATGGACATCCGACATCGTCACCTACATCACCAGCACTACCCCTCCCCATACCACCATCCTCTTCATCTTCGCCAGGTTCATCTACAGCTCGTTCAGCAAGTACTGGCACGGGGGGCTCTAGTGGGGTTGTTGGTGAGAAGGGGGCGGGTTTTTATTCTAATACTACTTCAGGCTACAGCGGTAGCGGTGGGCCCCACAGTCACGGCGGAGGTCGATCTGGGCCTGCAAACCCAGGACCACCGACTAATCAGCCCCCTCCACATCCTAATTCTAATCCGAATGCCAATAATCCAAACCCTAATAATCCAAGTAATTCTGTATTTGTGTGAAGGAAGGAGCCTCTGAAATTTTCAAATATAAACAGACTTATACACACACCTCACGTCTCCCCATTTATTTTGTGACTCACAATGAGATTTTGGGGGGCATAGAGAGAGACATCAGAGTTTCTATCAACCAAAAACCACCTTGAATACAATTGTAATGAACTAAATTTTCGAAAGTTACCCTGTTGGTGGCATCTAAGTATTCCTGCTAAAATGATACAATCTGACTATTTTATGACTAATAACAGAGCCAAGGAAATTGTTTAATATTCAGGATGGGTTTTGGAATATAACCAATCTCTGTACCCTTGAAAATCTATTTATTAGCCTCTGCATTATTTGGGGATTAACTCAAGTATATTAGTCAGTTTTATCTAAAATTTCACATGTGTGTGTGGGAATTTGAATTGAACTGTGATGGGTTGGTTTTTTGTTGTGGGGCTAGGGTGTATGGCAAGCCAATGTTAATGACATTTTTGGACTGCAGATTCACTTTTAATGATTCCAATCCAAACTAAAAGGAAAAAATTCACACAAATTTATATAAACAAATCTGGCATTATTCTGCATATAAAAGAGTCTGCAGTATAACATCATATGCTGATGTAGTTCAACCATGTTGAATTAAAAATATGTCACATATATGACGGACTAGGATAAATTTTTGCAAATATACTAAGCAAAGTTTAATCAATACAAGCAATAAGTAAACAGTAATCAGATCTGCTAGTAATTAATATATAAATGTATTTATGTATATGATAAACTAAATAATAATGTTATTTAATCAATTTCTTTTACTTAAAGTTGATTAAGATAATGAATAGAATGCTTGTATTGGCCAATCTTAATAGTCAATGCAAATCAAACCTTTGAAAAAAGAACCAAATTAACCTACTTTAAATAAAATGCTTCAATGTTTCAACAAAAAGCATCCTGAAAATGAAGTGGTTGCTTTAAGGCATATTAGAGTTTAAAACAAAGGAATTTAATTGTGTATCTTTGATTATGCATTATAATGATAAAGATTTAACAGCAATAAATGGTGACTATCAGTCTCTAAAATGCTTCAAAGGGGTAATTTATGCAATTGTTTTACAAACACTTGGATTCAGTTATGACATTAATCTAATCAGAGTGAAGATTGTCAAAGGAGTGAGGTTTTGATGAGTGAAATAAAACTTTGACTCCCTACAGGAAAATATTCTGTAGGGACAAATAGTACAGTGAGTGTATTAACAAAAGGATGGGTTCCCTTTCACCTACCTGTCCCTGCAGTATAAACTGAAAATGCCTTAATTGATTAAAAAAAAAATATCTTGAAAAAATATTGTTCTACAAAAAAATTGTATGGATATTTTACTTTTCTATAAAGTAAACAATATTAATAGCTAATGAGAAATATTTTTGCAGCTGTAAAATCTGTGAGATTTTCAACCCAAACGAAACTGAGGAGGCCTATAATATGGGTGTCGCTCTTCTCCTTGGATTTCATGCTAATAGAGAAAATCTCAATTTGAGCATTACTACAAATGTTTTATTTATAAAATAAGTCAAATAAAATTAATATGAGAAAGTTATGAAAATGAACTTCTCTCTAAAAAAAATATTTTAATCAGAATTTAAACAAGGCCGTCTGATCTACAAGAGCTACTGATGACTAAAAATGTCTTATAGTTGAATAACTAATTATAACAGAATAATACTGTGAATTGGCTTTTGAGCTATCAAAGAAAAGACTGTATGCAATAGTACCAATCGTTACAGTGTTGACTGAAAAATTATCTTAACCTAAAGCAATCGGGTTCAATCAAATCTCACGAGTCATCAGTTTCCCTTCTAGTTCAGTATTTATCAAATTGATTTTCAGTCTGATGCAGATCAGTCATAACATAAATTTGGATGAGAATAGAGTTTAAATAAAATTAATTCTCCCTTTGTGTTATCTGATTTGTAACTTACAAAAATATTAACCATTTCTCAGCTACATTGACCACAACCAAGTTCCTTGCAATGATAATATGACATTTTATGATATTTATTTCAAAACCATTTTTTCTAGTTTGTTTGGTAACATTTATAAATAATAATGTTCAGACAGTAATCAGCCTGATTTTCACCCAAATTAAAAAAATATATATAATTCTGATATCTTAAGAGGAATTTAGTAAAACAGTCGAGATTTTATTCTTACAGTCCACACAACTAGTAAAAACTTTTAAAAAATAATGATGTTATCAGCTCTAAAGAATATAAGAAAACTATGGATAATTGATAGAGCAGTTATACAGTTAAAAAAGGGATCACTTATGGCTCCTTGCTGCTCCTTAAATAAAATTATGTAGATAGGTTTAATTTACTGTCATTAGATTATATTTAGTAATTCAACTTAACTAATAAGAAATTTGGTTCAAGTTGTATTGTGCAAGGAAAACTAATTGTTCATAATTTATAATAAATTACAAAACTATATTTTATATTATCAAGTCTATTGTCTTTAAAAATATATAATGAGAAATTTAATTTGATTGCTATAAAATGCTTATATTATTGAATCATGATTATTCAGACAATACTTTTTTAATTTAATACCTAATTTGGTTACTTTGGTGATAAGGTGGCATGTTCACTCTAGCTGATCCTTGGCCCTTCATAACAAAATTCTTTGCTATTTGTGTTATTTATAATAGTCTGAAGTTCTTAATGAAACACTGTCATTATTAATCTTTTACTATTTACTAGTATTTATTTTATCTTATTTCTTTGTGTTCCCCACTCCCAATTTTCAAACCTTTATTCCCTGACCAATTAGGTAAACAGCACAGATCAGAAATTAACAATCAGCCTACAGCAAAAGAAATAAGACGAAAGAAATACTAATCAAAACATAATAAAATTCTTCGCTTTTTAATACTCACAAGTTCTCATATCCAGAGAGTAATTTTCAATTTTACTAAAGGAATAGCTGTCTATTCTTACATTAAGGTATTTTCAATATACCCAATAAAAATAAAAATCTTAAAAGAGCATATTAAATCATAAGGAACAATTTAAAAATTAATATATATATAGTCAAAATTTCTGATAAGCAGACTGATGCAGTCAGCTATCAATTTTCTTAACAGTTTAAATCCTATCAATGAATATATATATATATATATATATATATATATATATATATATATATATATATATATATATATATAAGGATAATTGAAGGAAAGGACAAAATGAAAAGAACTCCCACATTATGTGTTTCATTTGTAGAAGGGACTTACACAGACTAATGATGGTTTTATTAAGAGCCAGTTTTATATATATAGGGTTGTGGTAAGAAAAACAGCAAATACTAGTTACAATTTTACATCAAGAAATTAAGATAATTTAAATTTAAAAAATAACTGATCCTATCTTCAGTGTTCTCAATGTAAAATTGTAAATAGCATTTATTGTATTTCTTCCCTCAAACATATATATGACTGACTACACTGATAAAATAATATGAAAAAAGTGCCTCCTAGGGACAAAACACATAGGGTAGGAGTTTTTATCCATTTTGTCATTCAATTACCCACTATTAGTCTGATATATAGATCTGTATATAATATGTTCCATAAACAGAAAACAAGCCTGAATGAGCTGACTTGTATGATTTATCTCCCTTTGTTGCCATCCTAAAATAACTGAACCAGTAATTTTGTTTTGGTTTGCTCTACAATACCCTTTGACCTCTTTCCAAGAAACCACTTTACACATTCTTTATCAAAAGTCCCGGCACACACATAAATCTATGATGGTAATATATTTCCCTTCCAATACTTTTGTCACTATCATTCTACATTTCTAATAAAACCCAAGCATTTGTAAATAAAACCTTAGAAGATACAATCTTCTTTTATTTTAAATACTTTATTTTTACGTGTATTTTATTTTTTCTTAAATTCATATCTGTTATCATTAAGAATTAAGAGAAGTGTTTGCTGCCTCTTGAAAAATAGTAGATACACATTTTTATATATATATATATATATATATCCACCATATATACACATATGCCAACATACAGCACACACACATATATATACATTGTATCAGTCATATATATATATATATATATATATATAAACAAACTATATCTGCCATATTTAATTTTACACAAACATATGCATATATATATATATATATATATATATATATATATATATATATATATATATGTGTGTGTGTCTGTGTTTAGGCAGCATATCTTCATTTAAAATGTTTCATTGAATAGTACAGACATATTTTCTCTATATTTTTATACTGATCCTTTCCAGTTATCTAATCAGTTTGTTGATGTTAAGGCGCCATAATTTTTTTAATTCAAGTACTTTCAATCTTTTCCAAGATCATCTTCAGGGGTAAATTACAAAGACAAACTTATTGTAACTGCGATAAAATCTGCATTCCATTGTGATGCTGATTTTTGAAACACACACAAATGTGCTTTGTAATTATTTCAAAATATTTCAAAAAATCACCATCAAAACAGAATGCAAATTTTATTGCAGTTACAAGTTTGTCTTTGCAATTTACCCCTGAAGATGATCTTGGAAAAGGTCAAAAGTACTTGGATTAAAAAAACTATGGTGCCTTCCTTGATGAATTTTATCTCAACATCAACAAACTGATTAGACAACTAGAAAGGATCAGTATAAAAATAGACACAATATTATTCAATGAACCCCCCCCACACACACACACACACATACATATAAATATATGGGGGATCATTTTCTATTCCTGAAATAATGGGGCACATTGGGATGACTGTTTTGTGGGATTTAGGGAGACTGTAAAGTTTGGGTATTCTAGGGTGATATTCTATTAGTCTATACCAGTGTTTCTCAACCATTTTTAATTCAGGGCACATTTGTAGAATAACTAAAAATCTAGAGTGGACTTTAAATTTTAATAAAGAAAAATATGTCATGAAATTTGAAAATAATAAAGAAATCTCTGGA